GCCGCGCGCGGGTCAGGCCCCGCCGCGCCCGCCCCCATTGGCCGCCCCGGGGGAACGTCAGTCATATGCAAATAAGGGAAGGGCGGGGCGGGCTCCGGTTGGCCCCAAGCCGGCCCGGGGCGGGACCGCGGGAGGAGGGTGGCAGGGAGGGCGCACTGCAGTAAAGGCAGCGAGCCAGAGGGGCGGTTCGCGGCACCGCGCTGCGGAGGCCTCGGGGTTGTGTGTGCTGCTACGTGTGTCCAGTCCACGCGAGGAACACGCTCACGCGCGGCTTGGCCCACCTCCCTCACGCCCGCCTGAGCGCGCACGGCTCGGCAGGGCAGACGAACTGCGCGGTAGGGCTACGCGAGCCACCCCGAGCCCTCACCAACTCACGCCAGCAGACTCTTCCCCCACCACACACACTCACACACACACACACACCCCTCTCACAGACACTTTTCCTGCCACACCCATTATTTCACACACACCCCACGGTCACATGTACCCTTGGCCTTACACTCACACTGTCACACACGAAGTCACACACCTTGAACACCTGCTCACATGTATGTACTACCTCCCACACTCCTGGTCCATCACTCCCCACCCATCATCATACACACTCGTTCTCACCCATCCTCCACATCACCCATTTCATGCACGCCTTGTCATACATGCTTCACCAACGCATATTCTCATTGCCAGCCCACATGAATCATCATACAAACAACATATCAAACAGGCAGCATTATCTCACACATCTCATCACAACCGCTGCTTGTCCATCACACACACACACACACACCCCACATCCCTCCCACACAACCACACACACTCTTCCATCTTCACACACTCTCATGGGGCCTTCCTGGCACCTCCCATCCCCAACACAGGCTAACTCTTACAGATGCCATTGTACTGACCCCTGCACACTATGTAAGCTTACCCCAGTGAGCACTCCTTCAGTACCCTGGCCCCCCAGGAATACAGAGCGCCATGGCCATTCACTGGCCTGACACTTAGCAGCCACCTGGGACCCTCTACCTCACAGTGTAAGGTGGTGGGGGGCGGGGGGGCCACAGAGCACCACTGTGGGCTGGCCTTACCACTCTAGGCTGGGAGTCACCCCTTCCAGAAAGGGGCCAGGAGGAAGAAAGGAAACAAACACTGGGGCTTCAGCATGCTGGGAGCTTGTATGTATTCTACTGCTCATTGAATCCTCACAACCACTTAGGGAGGTATACTTTATTATGCCCATTGTTCAGATGAGAAAAGGAGACTCAGAGAAACTGAATAAATTGTGCAAGATCATGCCTCCAGAACGTAACAGCCCAGTGCTCCAACTCAGCTGCTCTTTCCACTACTGAAAATTTAACCTCGGGGTGGACCCAGGCAGACACTCCCAGACGTCCAGGAATATGGTCAGACAGTGATACAGAAAGAACTACAGAAAGGCCAGAGAGCACACACAGAGACACATGCAAAGGTCTGGGGCCCACCAGGGAGAGAGGCAGAGGCCTTGGATCACCCAAGATGGGCCCTGGGGTCACATCCAGTAGAGGCAGAGGCCTGGGGTCACACCCGGGCAGGTTTTAAAGGTTGCACAAGCCCAGATGGACAAAGAGTGGGCTCCTACACAGGTGGAGTCAATGACAAGCACAAACAAATCCCTTTCCCAGCCTATTCCATCCACTGACAGAGCCGAAGGCATGGAAAGGGGACAGAAACCTGTAATCTGGGCCCAGAGGGGAAGGGAAGGTCCATAGCCCTCTGACCTCCAGAGACTGCAGGGCCAGACACTTGGCTGTGAGCCTGGAGGGGGCCACTGGAGGGGCTATTAGGTGACTGCCCCCTCCTCCCTATGCAGCCCCAGACTCAGACCCTCCATTACCTCACTGCCCCAGGGACTGCAATGTGAGGCAGAAATCAAGGCTGAAATCAATGTGGCCCGCTATCTCCCCACCACTGCCCCCTCCTCTCCCCTCCGGTGAGTCACCTACTGGCAAGTTAACCCCTTCCCTACTACAATGCAGCCCAGGACAGAGCTCGGAGCAACATTGCCCCCAGCCCCCCGACTTCTGTAGGGTGAGAAAAGAGCTAGGCCTGGCACAGCAGGGAAAGAGGGCCCCACACATCTGGGAGGGTTGCACATCTGGTAGAAGACACAGTGCCCACATAGGAGGGATGGGAAGAGGCCCCTTACAGGGTAGGGTACAGCCAAGTGGGGACCCAGCCTGGCAGGGAGGGGCCGGAATCCGGGCAGGAAGGGCCCCCCTGCCCTGGGCACCGGGCCAGCCCTATACTTAGCTTCCATTGTTCAGAGTGGAGCAACCCTGGGTGGGGGTGATTAGAAGTGGAGAAGAGGGAGCAGGTCCTAACCCCAGACAGCTCCATCTCTCCAGCCATCCTCAACCCTAACTGGGGCCTCCCTGATTGGAAAAGGCTGAGGGGGTTTCCCAAACCAGGGCCCCAGTCCCATCTGAGAGGTGGTGCAACCCCACCCTGCACTCAAGGCAGGTAGGTACCCGACAGAACTGTGGTGCAGCCACCCCCTGCACCACCCCATCGCCAATTCCACAAAAGGTTTGGCGCCAAACATCCCCCGAAGCACTACCCCACCCCCAGCCCGGGGACAGGGAGCCCAGACAGAGACACCAGCTGCCACCCAGGGTGGCACAGGCTGAGGCCTGCCCAGAGGCCTGGGGCGTACAGCCAGGGATGCTGACAGACTGAGGGACAGGCAGACACACTCTGAACTCACGGGCCCATTTATTGAGCCCAAGAGGCACCGCGCCCCTGTCGCCCGCGGCTCCCCACCCAGCTCTACAGGCCCGGGTCCCCGCCTTGGCTCACCACCCCGGTGTCCCCAGCTCCCCTCACCCGCTCTCCACATACACACCCACCCACCCCGGGCGGCGTCGGCGACGGCCAGGGTTGCCTGGGGAACGAGCCCAGGATTGGGCTGTGAGGCTCGGGAGGGATGGGGGCCTAAAAATAGCGCCGGGGTGAGTCAGTGTGAGTGGGGCTGGGGTAGGCAGGGGGACTAGGAGCGAAAGAGGCAGCCGAGAGGTGTGGGGGAGGGTCCCCAGGGATTGGGAGACGGACGGGATAGGACGGAGGAGGGGGCATGTGGGTTTGGGGGTGGAAACGGGCGGGGGGGGGGGGGAGTGTACAGGCACCCGGGCTTGAGAGGGCTGGTCGGCGCGGAGGGAGGGAGGCGCCCAACCCGGGCGGAGGAGGGGGCGCCGCCCTGCGTTCTCCAACCCTCCCCGCGCTCACGAGATTTTCCACTCGCCGCCTGGCCCCCAGCCAGCCCCCGGCGGGCCCCACAAAGCCGCTTTGTGCTGGGAGGGCGGGCGGGCGCCCGGCCGGCCTGACACCCACGCGGGCCTCGGCGGGGCACGGGCCAGCTGGCACCCGAGCTGTCTGCGGGGGGGCCCCCCCACCCAGCCCGAGGGCGCGGCCGCTTAAGGGTTAATGGCGCAACGGCGTGGGGGGTGGTCTCAGCCAATCAGCGTCGGGAGGCGCGTAGGCGGCCAATGGGAAAGACGGAGGCCCGACGCTCAGGGCCTACCCCTGGGGCGCGGGAATCCGCGCCCCTCGGTGCGGACCGGGGCTGGGCGCGGCCCTCAGGGTACCGGTCCGGATCTGCAAAGCCCCGGGTGCACCCTGTTTCCCCGGCTGCTTCGCAAGAAAAAGGTTCAGAGGGGGATAGGTTCTTGCAATCTGGAGGTGGCACGGTCGGGATTTGAACCCAGGTCTGCCTGGCCTCACACACAGCTTTTCTGCGGAAACAGGGAGACGGGGGTTCCCTGACCCAGGCCCCCGTGGGGAGCGGGAACAGGGGACGGGGTGCGGGCGGAGGAGGCGGCGCGGCGGGCTAGGGTCCAGCCGCCTGCGGTGCAGCCGCTGCCGCCGGTGGTAATGGGAGCCAGACGCCGTCGCCGCCGCTAATGCGCCTCCCTCCCGGCCACTAATGGAGCCATTAATGCC